GTGTGGTACTAAAAGTAGTAAAACAAGCTACTTTTTAGAGTGAAAACAACTTTTAGTAAAGTACTGTAAATCATGTGGTTTTAAGAATCTTGTTATTTTCTCTTTTTCATACAGCAGAGGTCATATTATTGACTGAAATGTAAAATATCAAATACTTTATTATTGAAAAATAATTTTTATTTTTTACCATGTAGCCTTTAATGTAATTTTAGAGTTGAAATTATTAACAGATTTTTCTAGTTTTAATGGCTTCTTATGCAGTTGAAAACTGTACAGAATAACATGTAACTCCTACACTTTCTTATATGCTAAGAAACCAAAGAAGGAATGCTATCAACCCTTGTACCATTGTTATTAACATTCTGGTCTCAAAAAAACATGAATGGACATTGAACATATCTCCAAAAAAAAATATGAATGGACATTGAACTTATCTCAAAAAGATATGAATGGATGTTGAACATATCTCAAAAAATATGAATTGATGTTGAACATATAATACAAAGAGTATGTGTATGAACTCAAGTACTGCATGTAAGCACATGTTCTTGTATATATTTTAGTGTTAAAACATTGATACACAGTTTTTTATTCCATGTTCTCTGAGGAAAGGATCTTAGTATTTAAATTTTTTCATGCTATATTTTATATATGTCATATTTTATGTATCCATATTAACTTTTACACCTGCTATGATGTCCAGACAGCAAAAATACCCAGAAACCTTTCGCGACAGTTATACAAAATGGTATCCAGGAAAAGAAAAGTGATGAAGGATTGGATTGTGATGTGATCATGAGAAACCGACAAAAGATGTTTGAAAAAATGCAAGGAAAGCAAAAGAAGTCTGACAAAACGTATGATATTAAGTGCATTTATAATATAGAATATCTGTTTAACATTGTGAATGTTTTAAAATTGTTAAAATATGGCTTACTGAGCAATAACATTTTTAATTAAAGAAAATATTAAAGAATGTACAAATGCAACAGAAAACTTAAATAGCTCAATTATTCTGTCTATTTCTTTTAGAAAAATCTATTTGTTATGTTTTAAAAAATGTTTTTGTAGAAATTACTGAATGTAGTGCTAATCTGATTACTTAAATTAATATTGTATGGAAACCTTGAGCTGTATGTAATCTGTTTTTTATACAACAAACAGAACACTGCTTAGTGTTAACTTTATAGGAATGATGTTCCAGATCCCTTGAAATTACTTCCGTTATCAACGAGCATACTCAGATAGATTATATGATTACCTGATATTACTTGACAGTGCAGTTTCCTTTATAACAATGTTAAGGTCAGTCTCAGTCCAATCACCTTGATAAATGTTACACAGATCCTCTACTGTATATGGACATAAACTTCCAAGACCAGAGGTACAAAGGTCATTGGAACTTTATCGCAGGACTTGACGAGTATGTGGTTCCAGTTGTTGATTTTCAAGTATGTTTGGAAGCTTTTGAGCCTTCATTTACTTCAACTCCTTGTGTATTATTTTGTTAACAATACCAGGAGATATGTCGAGCAGCATCTCATTGGTTTTCAGGGTCAGAGAGTTTTCTTTCATAACCATAGCCTTCAGATTGTGGATGAGAGCATTGCTCTGAATTTGTTTAAGGGTAGTTTTGTCCTTAACACTTTGCTATGCAAGCTTTTCTGCTACCATAAAGAATATTGAAGACTTTTTTTTTTTTTTTTTTTAACATCATTTAGCAGCCTTACCATTGAATATTTCTGTTCAGGAAGAGTGTTCTACAAAACCCTATAGCTGTAAGATTTCCCACAATGGTATTGTTCAAGTATATAGGTAACTAAATATATGGGTGCAAGATGTTTTCTGTGATGATGCAACTCACACCTACAGTAACACGTCACTGTATTAGCAAATGAAAATCATTGTCATATAGTGCCATTAACCTTCACTAAATCATGATTGTCAAAGTTACCTGACAGAGTGAATAAGTGGAATAAATACTGAGCTGTGAGGTTTGATTTGTATCCGGCGTAGAGATTTTTTGTCAATTAAATTGAAACAAAATTCTTAGAATTAAGTTACAAGATGAATATCTGTATCGTCTGGAAATTTAATTTTAATCATATTTGACTGAAAATCAATTTCTAAAGAAATTAAAAAAGCAAAATTTAAAGAGTAAAAATTAAAAAATGTTATATTTCTGACACCTTCCTGGTTTCTTACTTTATTATTGCATCCATTACACTTTTATAATATCGTGAATATTGAATGAGATTTTTTCCATCCAACTGATTTATTTTGCATCTAAGCCACAAATGTTTGCATTACGTGACCACTGATAGTTTGATCTATACATTTTATTTTAAGTATGTACAATATATTTTCTTTAATATACTTTTGTTTAATTGAGGATTTTGTACCCCAATATTAACAGTAAAATTTTCTGCTGCTTTTCTAAGATCATAGAAATTATATGATTGATTCTAATTTACATTAAAAAGATTAGCAGGTATTAAATGTAGTTGTGAAATAATCTGTATGAAGTTAAGCAATAAGCCCTGAATTTTAGTTTTTACATTCAGAGAGTTAGTTTAAAAACAATTTTTTTTAATAGTATTGATGATATGCTTCTCACTACAGAAAAAGTCCATCGTCAAAAGAAAATAAAACTAAAAAACCACGAGTGTGGGATAATAGTGGTACACATCAAGAAGCCCAAGTCTTAGACTTCAGTGAGAATCCTAAATGTGAACGAGAACAGGCTAATTCTTCAGATCTTTTGAATGAAGAAGCTGTAAGTAATGAGAGCATTGAGAAGTGAAATATCTAATATTTGTATGGATATTTTGAACTAAAAACATTAGTGTAAGACATAGAAGACTTTATTAAATGGTGGAAGAAGCTACCATAACTGACCTCACAACAACTAAGTTTTAGTTGTGATGTGCTTAGAATTTTTATTTTTAATCTAAAACTTTGTTGTTTATTCTGCCACTGGTGTTGATAAGAATTCATTAAGTATTGGGTTGGTATTACCCCATCTATTGGTAAGAATTCATTAAGTATTGGGTTGGTATTACCCCATCTGTTGGTAAGGATTCATTAAGTATTGGGTTGGTATTACCCCATCTGTTGGTAAGGATTCATTAGGTATTGGGTTGGTATTACCCCATCTGTTGGTAAGGATTCATTAAGTATTGGGTTAGTTTTACCCAGTCTTTAACTCCAGATGATAACAAAGAATTTCACAGTTTTAGAATTTTGAAGTTTGATGATTTATTTTGCTTTGGAAGTTACATATACATATAAGAAACACAATAATATTTTTCAGTAGTTTTATTATTCCTCAAAATAATTAAGTTTATTAGATAAGCTAAGTTTTTTTCCCTCATTTCAAGATCAACATCTAATCTTGATTTTTTTTTCACCCTTTCTTTGTAGTATAATTTACTGTATGGTTTTATACAAATCAAGATGGTAGGTTTTTTTTTATCAACATAAGCTGGGTGTAAATAACACATGTGTCAAGAGTGTTTCTGTATTCTAACCCCTCTTCCTTCCTCTTTGTGTTTTTACTCTCTTACCACACTTTTTTTCTTCAAACTTTTTCTGGTAAGCTTCTGCTAGACCCTTTACAATCTACTTGGTGACCTCAGAAAATTCCTTGTTATTGATTTTAAAAAAAGTTGAAAAGTTGCATTGCTCTCTCTATGTGTATGTAAGTAACATACCCCATGTCCAACTATAATACTATTCACTCCAGCTCTGTAAATAATTACTGTAGTTTAAGACATGAATCACTGTAACATTTGTTGTTTAGAAACAAAGTTTTCATTTTAAAGATTTAATCTTTAACTGATGTTGCATAAGTAGGATTTGCTCTAAGCTTTCTCTAACGATACATTCGTGAACCTTATTGGTTAGAATGTTTAATATATTTATTTTTATTATTTAAATTATAAAGATTGTTTTACACTGTTAGCTTAGTATATGAATTTAGGACTAATCTATACCTCCTAAGCTGAATAAACTTTGAGGTATTATTGGGAATAGAGCCCCAAATTTTGGCGAATAGTGACGGTACCCAACTGATGAAACAAAGCATTCTGATCATTACAACTAAGAATGTTAGAACATATTTAATACTTATCACTGGGTTGAACTTTAGTTCTGGTATATGTAGGTAGCATGTTTTGGTCAGAAATTAATACTTATTTTTTAAACAGCAATGTGAAAAGTTTGCAAAAAGTGGAAAATAGTTTTCATTTTATGAACTTGTGGTTTTTTTTGTATTTCTGCATTTACTGAAGTTTCAACTAAAAAAAAATGTAGTAATTCCAAATATTGTTTTTATCCTGATGTTTTATGATTTTTAATTACTACATTATTGCGAATAAGTCAGTCAGTGCTAGTTTAGCATAAAAAGTTTTCAAGCAGTGATTGGCTAGATCCAAACTACATTGGTTACAGTGGCTGTTGTAAGAATTTTATACATCACAAGCATCAATATGTGTGTTAATAGTGGTAAAAAATGGTTGGTTAAAGAGGTTGACAACATCCCACTTGGAAATATGATTGAAAAACTGAATAAGTCAGTCAGTGCTAGTATAACACAAAAAGTTTGCAAGCAGTGATTGGCTAGATCCAAACTACATTGGTTACAGTGGTTGTTGTAAGAATTTTATACATCACAAGCATCAATATGTGTGTTAATAGTGGTAAAAATGGTTGGTTAAAGAGGTTGACAACATCCCACTTGGAAATATGATTGAAAAACTGAATAAGTCAGTCAGTGCTAGTATAACATAAAAAGTTTGCAAACAGTGATTGGCTAGATCCAAACTACATTGGTTACAGTGGTTGTTGTAAGAATTTTATACCTCACAAGCATCAATGTGTTAATAGTGGTAAAAATGGTTGGTTAAAGAGGTTGACAACATCCCACTCGGAAATATGATTGAAAAACTGACCAAGTCTGATTTGTTTCCATAAGATTTGTTCAAAGGATCAACTATAAAAATCATCACTGTTGTGTGGGAAGACCATGTGGTTGGAACAAAAGTATAGAAAAAGGCCTGCTGCAAGCCTCAGCAATGAAACAAAATTCAACGAGACAGAAAAGAAAGCCCAAAAGCTTTATTACAAAAAATAAAAAGCAAAATTGAGCATGTTACCAACTTGGCCAGAAATGACAATAGACTGTGGTAGTGCTGTTGTTTTTGCTTGTATGATGTTAAAATATTAAGGACAAAAAGCTTGTTTTTTAATAGACACATAAGACTATTATTTGTATTAATTACAAACCAGTCATCATACATATTTGTAAAGATAAGTGCAATGTTTAGGTTCTATCTAGATGTAAATATGTGAAATATTGGTGTTTCATGAACTGTTAATGTTAAAAGTATATCCTGCAAATGTACCAGGATGTAGGCAATGTTATTAAATTTTAAAATACTCTTTCAACTTACATAAGTAATGTTTGAAAAAACAAAAATTGAAAATATGAACTGATTAATCATTGCAACATTCATTGTTTAAAATTTGCAAGAAAACTACTAAATCTTGCTCATATTCCTGTTTAAACAAAATGTTTGAACACAGTTGTGTTGCAGTTTTGAAAATTAAACCAAGAGTCTGTTATTTGCTCTGTGTTAACCATCTTTTAAAACTTGTTATCAAAATAAATCATCTGATGGATGTTTCTCTAGCGTGCTTGGGTAGGACAAATGAAAGGAGAAATTAAAGGCATGGATTATTCAGAAAGTGAAGAGGAAACATCTGAGGAAGAAGAAGCTTCAAAAAAAATAATACAAACTGGGTGAGAAAATCTGTCAATTTTTGATGTATTTTCTAAATTGTATGTGTTATGAAATTGTTGGTTATAACTTTTTACAATAATTTAAAGACATGTAGCATGGTGGTCTGAAATATGGAAAAAATGAAGAGTTATAAATAGTCAAAGTATTTTTATACAGATCTATTCAATCTGCGATATGTTTTCTTTGTTAACATTTATTAACTACTTATGTAATACATATCGAGCTTTGTGGTTGCAAAATCCTTTCTTTTTATCTCATGATTAAAATGTGTACTTTTATCTGGGAATTTTGAAACTCTACTGAAATGCATGCTTATCCCAGTTTTATTACTATAACCAAAATTCTTTATACTTTGTTGAACACCATTGTATAAAGTTTAGGCTTGTCTCCTACTCTGCATAATGTTTTGTTCAGATTAGGCAACAGGAAGAGATAATAGAAAGAACTTTTGTTCACACAGTTTCTCCAGGTTTACCTGCCTTCTTCAGGTCTCGTATCTCACTTGATGATGCCATATAATCCTGATGAAACATTATGAACATAATATACACAAGTTCTATTCTATACAACCAGTATAACATTTTATGTAAGATAAGGGAACAGTCTTTATGTAACTAAATTCAACAAATTTACTTCTGGGAATTCAAAACATTGGGGGCTATAGAAAGGGTACCAAAATTCTGAACAAATAATTTGACTCAAAATCCAATATGACACAAGTTACATTTTAATTGACAAACAAGCTAACCAAATTAATAGTAATTATGTTATTATACTATACTTCAAGTGTTAAAGCTGATGCACTGATAGCAGACAGGAAAAACTGTGTTATATTTAGACAAGGATTGAGTTTAGAATGAATTTGTATTCAAATTCTTCAACAACTCAGTTGGACATACTTGCATATGTATTTATTTAGTTTCAATATCAGTGAGATAAAACATGTTTTAATATACATTTATCAGATGAAATTTTATAACTTATTTTGCATCTTGTTAAATCCAGGTGGAGATAATTGTAAAGAACTTTTCCTAAGCTCTGTTGATTTTTTTTTGTTCACTGTTTACTGTGAATTTCATTTGGAAATGAAGATTTAAAAAACTGTTAATAGTTATATAAATGTTTTAACATTTTAATAATTTGAAGCAGACATGGAAGCCAGATAATTACTAATACTACATAAAGTTCTTTGTAAGACAAGTTATAAAGTAGTATTGGTTTTTCTAACATTACTTACATGTATCTTGTTTTGTTGTTTTTAATTTTTTGTTTGTGTAGAACTTAAGTTCTCTTTAGAGTATCTTGTATCATCATACATTAAGTTAATGTAACAAATGCTACAAGAAACCTCTTAAAAAAAAAAAAGAAAAAAAAAAAAGAAAGAAAAAAAGGTGAAACAACCTGTTCCATATGTTATGTGATCTAACACTGTTGAAAAATTTGTAATTTTAAGAATTAAAGGTGAACTAAACAACCACTGAAACATTCAGATAAAATTTTTTCTTGTTTACTGTGGCTAGTGTTAGATATGATTATTTATCTGGTGTTTTTTTTTCTATAATTTCTGATGTAAAGTTTTGTCTCTAATAATCGAAGTGAATTTATAACATAAAGGAAAATAAAATCTTTTTAATTATTTTTCTACACTTTCTCCTTCATCATCTTTATTTTTTCTTTAGTTTACCTTAATGTTCTTACCTCACAACTATAGGGTAAGGGTTTGTTATATTATTGAATGTTTTTGTTTTTTCTTGTAAAAGTGACACTTGTGTGTAGAATTAGGTTTTGATATTTAATGATAGCTAGTTTTTAGTTGATATTTATTGACAGCTAGTTTTTAATACTTCTTAGATCATGAACTAAAACTTTTGTTCTGTTTGTTACTTCCAGAAAAAGCAGAAGTTTTGGTATGTTCAATATGTTTCGAGATCTGGTTGGCTCAAAAAGTATTTCTCGTGAGGACATGCAGTCAGTTCTGGAAAAGCTGAAGGATCACATGATTGGTGAGTTAAAATGTGTAGTTTTGAAGATAACACTGTAATAACATTTAGACTACCTTTCGAGCTTAACCTTGTCTAGTTTTATCACTCTTTGAATACTGCATGCTGAAACGTGATATCATATATTTGCGTACACAAATTTCAGAAAAAAAAAACTCGAATACTTTTGAATAGTTGACTGTTCGAAAGAGCTCAAGTTTTGGATCTTTTTTTTGAAATTCATTGCACCTTTTGTGTGTGATCCTGCATGCCAATTATTTTTATCAGAATATTTGTGTACAGGAATGCATACCTCGCTCTCTTGGAAATTAAGCATACATGAATTATTTTGCAGTGTTCTCATCATATATTTTCCAGTAAGTCTAAAAGAAAGAAAAATGAAATAAAACACAATGGCAATACTATTGTATAGTCATGTAAATGAAAGCAAAAAATATGGATTTAATTGTTGGTATTTGAGTTCAAACAAAGCTTATAGCACTTCTTTAATAATGATGTTTTAAGTGGGAATTTTGGTAATTTGTACCATCTTTTCATTGGCTGTGTAATTGAAAAAAGGTAATTTTAACTAACTAAATGTATCAAACTTTTACTTTGACATAAGAAATAAAACAATTGTGTATGAAATCCTACTCTAAAAGTAATCCTCAATTAGCACTTCAAACAGAATTTTTTCTTTTTTTTGTTTTGTCAGAGTTATAGTTATTATACAGTTATGAATTAATTTTGTTTATTTATCTGATAGCTAAGAATGTAGCCTCTGATATTGCTGGGAAATTATGTGAGTCAGTGGCTTCTAGACTGGAAGGAAAAGTTTTGGGGACTTTTACTGGTGTTGCTTCTACTGTAAAAGCAACCCTTGTAGATGCTCTAGTACAGTTGTTGTCACCTCGCCGTCGTATTGATATTTTACGAGACGTTATGGAAGCTAAACAACAGCAACGACCATTTGTCATTGTTTTTTGTGGTGTAAATGGAGTTGGAAAGTCAACTAACTTGGCTAAGGTAAGCTGTTGTACTTATAATACATAAATATATATAATAAATGTTTTAGAGACTTGTTATGTTAATATTACCTGTAATATGAGCATTGTACATTGCATAGAAGAAAGAAATTCTTACAGTTTATACACACACGTGTTTGTGTGTGTGTATATATAAGGTTTTGGTGTTTTTTTCGTTTATTTCAAAAAGGGTTTTAGCAACATCCAAAGAAGAATGATAATTATAAGCTTCTAAGGGGCATAAAAATTGTTGGAATGTTTATATGGATAAGTATATCTTACAGATTTATTTATGTATATATATTTTACAGATTTGTTTTTGGTTGGTGGAAAACAACTTCAAAGTTCTGATTGCTGCCTGTGATACTTTTCGCGCGGGAGCCGTGGAGCAACTCCGTACTCACTCTCGCTGTTTGAATGCCTTACACCCTCCTGAGAAGCATGGAGGCCATCCTGTTGTCCAATTATACGAGAAAGGATATGGAAAGGATGCTGCTGGAATTGCCATGGAAGCAATCAATTTTGGTAGATATAAAAATTGTGGTTATAAGGTATACAAAGGTTTTAAGATCTGTTTAATCTATTGTTTATGATCTCTGTTTTCTGCTATACTTTATTGGCTGTTGTAAGCATCCAAACTATAGATCTAAATAGTTCTAGTATAAAAAAAACGTATAAAAACAAAATAAACTTCTTTTTACCAGTTTTATTTTCGAACTTTTATAATATGTGTTCTTAGGCTCATTTTTCAGTAGACATCTAACTAAAAATCCATGAATATATAACCAGTAAGTGCTATATTAATATTTATTTTAAAAAATACTTAATTTATAATGCTTGCACAAAGAGAAACATAACTAAAGACAGTGATAACTTGCATGCATTTAATTTCAAATGATATCTTAATGTAAGTATACATGCTACATTATTAATTTACTGTTTGTTCTGAATGTGTTTATTAGTGTGATATACTCTTGAGTTATTAACGTAGAACATCGTGCAAAGTTTTGTTTGATAAATGCTATGCTGCCACTTTTTACTGAGATGTGATGAACTCACTAAAGTTGTTACTGCCCAATTTTAGCTCGTGACTGTAAAATGGATGTAGTTCTTGTGGATACAGCTGGTAGAATGCAAGATAATGAACCTCTGATGAGATCTTTGGCTAAGGTTTGTTAAGTTCTGTATTAACTATAGAAGCTATGAATTTATTAGTCGTAGAATATTTACAGTTAAAGTGAAAGGAGACAAGTTCATGTGTTTGTTTAAGTTTAATATAACTTGTTGGAGTCTTTGTATATATTAACTATATTCCTGGTGAATTTTGTTTTCTCGGATTACTAATAAATCTTCAAGTAAGGATGACGTGTGTGTTTGTTTATGTGTCTATGATGTTGACATAATATTTGATAGTATATTTTTGAAATTGTTTAATTTCTTGTGCAAGAATCATCAAATGTCTTGTTTTCTTCTTCTGTATAAAAGTATGTGATTTACTAAACTTTTTGATTCTGTGGGATTTTGTTTTTTATTATTATTATTACTGTACTGTTCAAATTAGAGATATGGATGCAGGCAGATAATGTGAAGTAAGTTGTTTTTATTAAATTATCTCTGTCATTTTTCTAGCTAATCAAAGTCAACTCTCCAGACCTGGTTCTGTTTGTTGGAGAAGCTCTTGTAGGAAATGAAGCTGTGGACCAGTTAGTGAAGTTCAACCAAGCCCTTGCTGACCACTCAAGTCAAGAGAACCCACATCTAATTGATGGCATTGTCCTGACCAAATTTGACACTATTGATGACAAGGTATGTTTTACAAATTTAGAAAAGTATCTAGCATTTGTATTTTGCACTTGAATATCCAAAAGTTTCATTGTGCATGTATTCAATGTTTTGTTTGAGCTGTATGTGTAACTCTTGTGATATTGTACATGTATTCAATGTTTTGTTTGAGCTGTATGTGTAACTCTTGTGATATTGTACATGTATTCAGTGTTTTATTTGAGCTGCATGTGTAACTCTTGTGATATTGTACATGTATTCAATGTTTTATTTGAGCTGCATGTGTAACTCTTGTGATATTGTACATGTATTCAGTGTTTTATTTGAGCTGCATATGTAACACTTGTGATATTAAATGTTGAGTAATAACTCCATTTTGAAGAAGAAGAATCATTATAAGTTTTTTGATAGGTTGTTTAGGCAGAGTATTCATAATGAATTTAAGACGTAAGGCGGAAGACTTTCGAAACGTCGTCTTCTCGACGTGGTGAGGGGATCTCCCAGGGAAGGTTCTGTATTTTCAGTTACTTCCTCTGGGATTTAAACATCCACCCACGTGTT